CCTGGCTGGAATTTGGGGATCCCAGCACAGCCCCCCAGCACATCCCGATGCTTCCTCAAGTCCCTTTAACCAGGATCCTTTTTTGGGGTGGGAGCACCCAAACCCAGCCGATTTGGCTTTAGCCAATTTTGGGGGATCTCCCCCCTCCTCAAGCAGTTCCTGCTGCCAAAACCCAGCCTGAGGCTCAGCTCCCCATCCCCTCAATCTCTCCAAGGAATTGCACTTGGATTTCCCAATCCAGCCGGGCAGCAATGCTGTTCTCCTCACTGTGTATCTTCACTGCAGTAATTGCTTAAGAAATAATTAAAATAAATTCAAAGAATGAAGAGACAATAAAGAACTGCCAGCTCCAACCAAGGGCTGCTCAAGCCCCTTCTCAATGATCTGCTTTAATTAATCAATGCAAATGAACCAATTAAGATCACATCGAGATCACATTATTCTTTTTAATCAAGTTCTAGAGAAAAACTGCAGAATAGGAAAGAACCTTTTTAACCCCAAAACTCTTCTGGGAGATCCACAGGGCAGGGCTGCACTGCACCCCAAACTGAGGAGCACTGGGAGCAAAGACAAACCCAGACTGAGATTCCTGGGAGATTGGTGCAGCTTCTGCCAGCCAGAACATTCCTTGGTCTGAACACACACCTGTGAATCCCAGGAACCTGGGACATCATCAAGAGCCTTTTTATTAAAAGCACATTTCCACAGAGGATTTACAGAATACAGAAAATTAAATGCAAAGGAACAGCTCCCCCAGCCCAGCAGGCTGCAGCATCCAAAAGAAAATGAACAGAAAGATGATGGATTGGGACCATCACCAATCCCAAATCCCTGGTGTGGAATATCATTCTGCGTTGGTTTATAATTCACCGCTTCTCTTAGTGGACAAACTCTTCAGCTTTGCTCCATTTCACTGAGTTCCCAACTGTGGCCACCAAGATTCTGCTGCCCCGAGCCCTGGTAGGAACATCAAGTGGTCCAGGTGCAGTGTGGAGCAGGGAAAGAATGAGGATCATTTCTCTTTTCCAATTCCAGATCTCTTGGTGAGTTGGGAAAAATAAGGAATTTAGTTTACACAAGAATATTGGAGTCTTTTTAACGACTGACAGACAACACATGTGGGGAAACATTTCCACCTGTCTCAGCACAGGCAAACCATGAACAGCAGGATGGAATCTGGGAACAGAAATGATCAGGTGCCTTCTACCAAGGTGGGAGGGGAGGGGAGGGGAGAGGAGAGGACCTTTCACACCCTCAACAGCAATTTTTCCTTATGGATAACACATCAGAAAAAAAAAAAAAAACTGCAAGTGAATTGTTAATCTGCCAGGATGACAGCCCTGGGACAGACATTTTTCCTGCTGTGCTCTTGCTCTTTTCAGAGCAGTCTGACCAAGTTTTCCAGCCAGGAGACCCCAGATGAGCACAAAGAGCTGCCCCTCAGTACTGCAGTTATTTACAGCTCGGCTCCTGGCTGCAGAGAAGGGCCCTGGGAGCCCCAGCAGCAGCACAACCTTCAGCACAGGTCCCCTTGCACAGCCCAGGTGCACACAAAGCACACACCAGCCCCAAACTCCTCCCTCCTGACTCAGTTACCTTCTGGAATGCCACAGAAGAAGGAATTCCAACCTAACTGCGATTCCCTTCTCCTCCTGGCCCTCAGGGCACTGCTGGGCAAAGGCAGCTCTCCCTCCCTGGCCTGCTGGATTCATTTGACTCCTCCAAGCTCTCCCCACTGTGGAATTACAACTGAAATGTTCCACAGGGGTATAACCAGACCAGGAGCTGTCCCAAAGCACGTGAGCTAAAGACAACCCTGCAACCACTGTTGTGGTATCCAGCACTAAATTAGTGGTTACAGCCTCCTTCTGACCACCTAACACGGCTCATGAGGGCAGGAAAATTAATTTAAACGAAGCACAATGGGCTCAATTTCCATTGCCAGGTTTCACAGTGCACAAAGAACTGAGCTTCCCCAGTACATGGATTTCAAACCGCTGGCCAAAGCCAGTAGGTCAGAAAGGGAAAAGCAGAGCTGCTGGCAGTGCTGGAAGCACTGATTGCCCTGAGTTACAACAGCTGAAGGAGACCCTGAGCCCCAGTGAATATAGCATCAGGTATCTGTGCAGGTTACATTTCATAAGCAAAAAGATCCCTGGGAAGTGCATTAAAATTGTTCTTACCTGTCCTTTCACAAGGCAAGACTGTTTTTCCATATAGCAAATGGATTTTTAATTAAACAGATAGCACTTCACTCAGCTGGAGAAGAAAAAGATGAGATCTGCTAAATTCCCTAAGCCAGGCAACACAAAACAAAACAAAACAAAGCAAAACTTTTCAGTTTGGGTAAAAAAGAACCTTTCATTCCACTTTTTCACCATTTTCAACAGTCTACCATATTCATTTTGTCTCTCTTCAAACAAAAAGCCAATTCAGCTTTGAAAACCGTATATTCTGGTGTCCCAAGCTAACACATAAATGCATTTCTCTTCCCCTGTGCCCAAATACATCTTAGCATAGAAACATCCAAACTCACTTTTCCTGGGAACTTGCAGAATTCAGCCTGATAAAAACCCCACAGATTTCCAGTGGGTTCTGCCGCTTGGATTTTCAATTCCTCCTCCCCCAGCTGCTCCCTGCTGTTTCCACTGGGCAGGACAGGGAGGGTTTCACACCTCATCTTTCCCTGGACCTGCAATCAGAGCCTTTGGGTCCTGCTGTGTCAGCCCCTGCGACCCTAAAGCAGCAATTCCTTCCACCCTTCCAGGAGCTGCCTCACAGCCCCCAGGAAGGCCCCACACCAAACCCCAGCAGCATTGGTTTGCTTGCTTGTTCCCAGCCCCAAGGGATTCCACTGGAACAAGGGCTGAAAATCTTCCTCAAAAGAGGAGCAGAGGGACCCTGCCCCTCCAAATGCAAACTCCCAGCCACCATCACTCCTGTTCCACAAGTGAACCCACATTTGGTTCCATCATCAGGTGGGCCTCCACTAAAACTCCAGTTTTCCTCTCCTGCAGGAATTTTGAGGCCCAGAGAGTGGCTGTGCCCAGGAGATTTGCCAAAATCCGCTACGATTTCACTGCACAAAACGCCAACGAGCTGTCGGTGCTGAAGGATGAAATCCTGGAGGTACGTGAGCACTCCTGGGAAAGGTGTGTCCCCTCCCCTTCCAGGGGCAGCACAGAGCTCAGNCTGCCACTGCCACCCCTGGGGCTGTGTCCTCCTGGCAGCCCTTCCCAGCCCAGCAGGAGCTCCAGCGGCGCCTCTGGGCCTGTTGGGAGGGTTTGCTGGGAATGGGCCTCAGCCCTGGGAGGATCCTTTTGTTCCAGAGCAGACTCCAGAGCTTTTGGGCTTCTCAGCTTCAGGGTTGGATTGGAAAAGTCCTGAAAGGAAGAAATAACAATGAGGTTTGTGCAAGTGGTGCTTTCAGACCCCACCTGGCAGTCTGTGCTTTGTGTGGGAGGTTGTTGTGCACTGGCACTGCAGGGAATGAATGTCCCCTTCCCAGTTCAGCCCAGCAGATCCCAAAGGCTCTTACAGGAATATTTATCCTTTCCTTCCCTGGTGTTAATTTAATCTCCACCTGCTGTGAGCCATTCCTTGAGTTCTCCTGGAGAAACCCTCACAGCAGAGGAGTTTGCAAAGAGCCCAGAGCTGTGTTTGGAGCAGAGAGAGCTGAGAGCTGCATCTGCCTGTGCTGCCCCAGCCTGGCAACATCCCCATGGAACAGCCTGGGCAGAGGGGATCGGATGGAGCCAAATCCCTTCATGCAAGAGGTTTTCTCCTGTGCAGAGCAGGCAGGGACAGGCAGTGAACTTTGGAAATCAGCTCATTTCCCCAGAAAGCATCACTCCCACCAGCATGAGTGACAGGACCTGTGCCCACTGCTCAGGAGTCACCCAAATCAAGGGCAAAGGTTGGTTTGGGTCTGAGAACTTGAAATAACTTTGAAAAAGAAGAAATCACCTTTTTCTTCTTTTCTTCTTTTCAGATGCTGGAATTGCCTCTGTGGATGTGCACTGAGCTCTCACTGCAGGGAACTGCCAGGCCTTAATGGTTGTGAGTTCATTTTCTTCTCATTGGGGAATTGGAAATAATTATTAATTATTTTTAGTTAATGGTAATAGTTTGTAGTAATAGTAATTAGTAATTTTACATTAATAGTTAGTAGTAATACTTTTACTCACATAGTACCCTTTTACCCTTCAGAAAAGTTTTCTGAAACCTTCTCCCTTTGGTGCTCCACTGTGTGTGACAAGGACAGAGAAAGTGAGCAGAAGAGCAACCTCAGGCTGGGGAGGGGCAGGAGAAAGGCATTGTAGGCAAAGGGACCTTCCTGGCATCACCAGGGCACCTGTGGGGAACAGAATGGACACTTTGAGGGCAAATGGAGGTGAGGAGTGGACAGTTTGGGACAAAATCTGAGTTCATCTACAGGGAAATATATCGGGGATATTTCTGAAGGAAAAGCTGAGGTAATGAGTTCACCCACCTTGGCCCAAGTTGTGTTTGCACAAGTGGGACCAGAGGTGAAGGTCAATCCAAAGCCAACCCTGCTCAACCTCTAAATCTCAGGATAAACTCTACAAGTTGCCCATTGAGGGACTAAAAATTTGTAAGAATGAAAGCCAAGAGCATTAGGAAGGTTCCTGGAAATGCCATTACAATATTGTCATAGCATCTTTAACAGATCTTTAAGCTTTTTTGACAACAATGTATTTCTCTGTTGGGATTATTCACTCTGTGGGCTTTGTGGTTTGTTTGGATTTGAATTCCCTCACGGTGGCCCTGACACTGCTCAGGAGCTGGTAGGACAAACAGTCAGAGCTCCTGGCAGGGGCAGGGTGGTTTCCTGAAGAGTGGATCCAGCTGCTGCCCACCAGCCTGGCCACGAGGGATCTGCTTTGGCTCCTGTCTTCTTCCAGGGCAAGAATGATTTCAGCTGATTCAGATGAGTTTCCAGCAGCCTCATCTCCCAGCACTTCCTGGGCAGCCGATCCCCTCTCCTGCCCAGCCGGCGCCAACTGTGCGGGAATTTGTCCCACCAGCAGCAGGGGAAGGACACCAGCTGCCACCCTGGGACTTGGATTGTCCCCCTGGGGAATGCTGGCTACTGGGATTTAGAGAATTCCATGCATTTGGCTGCTGAAATTTCCCAGCCCAGGGGCTTTGGATGACAGGGCAGCACAAAGATTGTTCCCTGTGTGGTGCCTAGATTTGGGGTTCAGTATCAGCTTTGCTAGTTTAGAGGAATTATACCTATAGCCCCCCATTCCCTGCTGAATTTCTACTGGAATAACTTCCCAGTGCCTCCTGCAGCATGGATATCCATGGATATCCTCATGCAGCATGGATATTCCCACACAGAGCTGCCTATTGAACACCAGCTGTGCCAGGAACCAGCAGAGGCTCCAAGGAAGCTCAGTGGGATCAGGACAAGGACAGGCTGATATTCCATAGCATTTGCTATTTATAACTGTGGTGGTTTGACCAGGAAGNCCCTGGGTTTATTCAGGGTCTCTTCACAATGATGGAAACTGATTTCATTGAAATGCCAGAGGTGCCCAATGCTTTCCCCAGGCAGAGCTCAGAGCCAGCCCTGTGGGAAGGGGTTCAATGCCCATTTTCCCCATCCCTCCAGGCAGCAGCACTGGAGCACTTGAGCCAGACATGGCCAAGGTGCCCAGTGCTGGCAGGAGGCAAATCCAGGGCAGTGGGAGTTTGCACTGCTCCTGGAATGCAAGACCTGGAGCTGTGCTTCAGAGAGCCCAGGAGATGCTGCCTCACTCAAACCTTGTTTAAAGCTCAGCAACCTCCCTGCTCCCTTGGCATTATTGCTGCTCCCTTTGCTGCTCTTCCTTATTATTGTTATTGTTGTTGTTGTTGTTATTTATTGTTGTTGTTGTTACTGTTGTTACTGTTATTACTATTACTGTTATTGTAAACTCCCGCTCCATCTCTTCCACAGCCCTTTGCTTCCCAGAGGTGTGCTTTAGGAAAGCCCCTCCAGCCTGGGCAGGAGCTCCTGGCTCCAGACACGTTCCCAGTGCCCAGGAGCAGCAGGACCTGTGCTGTTCCCAGCAGGTGAGGCAGAGGTGCCTTTCCTTCCTTCCTTCCCTGCTGCACTTTGGCTTTTTGAGGGGTCTCTGGGAGTCTGAGGGAGAAGTTCTTTGTCACTCCAGGGCAGAATTAGCCCTGGTCCCACTAAAAGCAGGAGGAATTATTTTATCCCTGTGTTTGGATACACATCTTGTGTTTTCTCTCTGTTGCTGACACCGTGTGGTGAAGCAGCAGCTCCCAAATTGTCAGTGCTGCTCCCTGGAAGAGTTTTCATTTGTAGAACCGCGAATTCCCTGCTGGAATCCAGTCACAGCCCCCAGATCAATGTGCAGTTTAAGGTCTTACACCCTGAGCAGGACAAGTTCCTGTCTCTAGACATGGAAAATGGGGGAAAACTCAGACTGGAGTGGGGCCAGGATGCAGAATGGGGCACTGAGGCAGCGTGCTCAGCCCAGGCTGGGGCTGGCACAGGGGCTGTTCCCTGCTGGATGACACCTGTGTGGAACAGATCCTCCTCTTCCTTTGTCCAAAGTCCAATGGCAAAGGATTCAGGAACTCACAA